GGATTGTCGGGCCAATGAAAGATCATCTCCTGCTGTTATTTTGTACAAATGCATGTTAATCAGGTGTTTGATCTATCCGTAAAAAATATCTCTGCCACTCTGTGTCTTACTTATTATGAACAATGCTCTTGCACATCCTTCAGGCCTAGACGATGACCTTCTTGAAGAAATTAAATTCATCGACATCCAGTTCCTGGCTCCAAATACCACTCCTTTACTACTATGGACCGGCATGCTTTTCTAATTAATAATAATAAAAATTAAAATTAAAAAAAAAAAAAAAAAAAAAAAAAAAAAAAAAAAAAACCCTCTACACTAAATCACTGTTTGAGTATTATTTTGAGGCCACTGAACAAATCAACTTCAATAAAGTCCAGTTTCACATCGTTGTCTGCCTCAAGATGATGGACAAGGCATGGGAGAACAGGTCACCAAGATAACCATTATTTCTGTACGGAAAAAGCTTTGGATGGACAGTTTTGTTGATTGCGAATAACTCTGGGTAGTTTGAGCCTGTAATCAAAGATATTTTGTCCCTGGCCCAGATTATGGGACTAGAAGTGAATAGTAACGTCACTGATGAGCCTATGGAAGAGCATAGGCCGAACCTGATAACCGGAGAGCTAATAGAGCTACATCTGTGAAGCAGATGTAGCTGTTAATAGCAAGATAGTGAAGATTTCATCACAAGGATGACATCACTCATCAGGAGGAGATAACAGCCCCAGTAAAGCAACAACTTTCAAATGAAATAAGGAAGATGCCGAAAGCATGAGAAACTCTTGCATTGTTATTTTGAGAAGCATTACCTTAATAAGGAAACAGATAGGCATGCTACAAATTTATTTAATGGTAATGCTGTCTCATTTTTGCCAAATTTTGAAGCACAGGTGAAAACAAATGCCTTCAGACAACTTTCTTGTAAAAAATGATGCATTATATATCATAAACTGCATATTATAAATTTGTTAGGGCATTTTTTTTTCAGAATGGAATACATTACACTATTTTATATTAATTCCTATGGAAAAAAATTGTTTCCTTTAACGAGTGTTTTACATTAAAATTAAGATTCAGGGACAAATTATGATCATAAAGTGCAGTTTCACTGTATCCAAGTTATAATACATTGTTACACACCACTCTTAAGAAGCCGGATAACTAACAAGAGAGCTAAAAATTACAATCAGTGACGTATTGGATGAAACTGACATTACAAAATGAACTCTCAGATTTTACACAAACTACATCTTTAAAAGAAATGAAGAATAAAGTTTAATATATATCCTCTGTTAGTAGAGAAAAGATAAAATTTATACGCAAAAATTCTTATTTGTAATGAAAACAGAGTTCTTATTTTTGAAGAACAACATCAAATAAAATTTAAAATTTTGATGAACATTGCTTTGATATGTTAGAATTTGAATATCCTTTTACAGCAAAACCTCGGTACTTCATTCCTGAAATCATTTTTCAACCAAAACATTCACAAATTGAAACTATTTTAATTAATTTATAAAATTTTAATTAAATTTATAATATTAAATATTTTAATTAGATTTATAAAATTTATTTAAAAATACAAATTTTAAAAATAAATCATAAAAAGGGTGAATTTTATTTGGAATGAACCTAAATTTTGAAATAAAAAAGGAAGAATCAAATAAGTTTAATAAAAAAAGAGATATTAATAAATATATACCAAACTCAATTAACACTGAGGAGTTGAAACTTTTAGAGCAATTTTTTTAAAAACTACTCATGCGATTTTTACACAACTTGGCAGTCTTGCTAATTTGAGTGGTAGAATTGAAATATGAAGAAAAACTTGGCATGCAATTTCAGAAAAAGTCTGATTTTGTGTCAAAATACCTATCTAATACATATCAAAAGTCGAAGTCGCATTTTCGAGACATGAAAAACGCAAGTTTAATTTCATGAATCGGCCTAGTAGAACAAGAGATGAAGAACTGTCCCCCCCTTTTTTTTTCACGCAGTGTACAAAAGTGGCAATGCTCATTAAAACTGAAGAAACTGTCCAGTGCATGGTTGCCTGAAAACTTGGTACGCTCATATTTGTCAAAGTTTGTCGCTGGCGATTTCTAATCAAGTAGCTCTGATAATATGCAAGTACCAAAAACCTTTTTAGAAACTAAAATCTAGTTATTATTGCTGGGTAAGTGAGATTCCAACACCTTGGTTTCTAGCTCTGACATGAAATGAATGATAAATCTACAGCAGCTGAAGTATTTCAAATGCACATAATTTCTATTCTTTAAATTCAACATTTAAAATATACTCACCATCAAAATATCCAATATACCAACAAAAAGTTTAAATAATTTCAGAAACAATGAAATAAATGGTCATCCAACACCCTTCAGGAAACTTATAAATGAAGTTTTGGTAAATCTTTACATTATGGTAACTTGGCGATTTTATGGCGAAAATTTGACGACCAATCCTGCTACAGCCACCTGCTAGTTTTGTTTTGGATGCCATTTTGTTTTCACGAAGTAAAGGCTTTTTTTTTTTTAACTCAATATTTTTTCCAACAATCTGCTAACCGAATTACGCTTATAGTAGAACTTTTATTAACAAAAATGCTTAATCATGACGAAGATTAGGTGCGAAATTGGGAGAAAGTGCAGAATCGCAAACTGCTCGCAGCGTTTTTAAGAATGGCACATACACGGTATCCATGTACACTTCGACCTATTTCCACTTAAAAAAAATCCCAGAATTGCACAAAAATGGCATTGCGCACACTCTTGACTTTATCTATGTACACATCGACCTATTTTCACTTAAAAAGTCAAAGAAAATTAACAAAAATCCAATTTTTCTTATTCTTGCAAAAAGCGCAAACAAATAAGTGGGCGATTCTGCACTTTAGCAGCGAAATTGTTTCTAAGTGCTTATTAGCTAAAATCACGATCGGAATTTTCCGGAAAATGTCACATTACATGTCTCATGATCTCTCATTTCTCTGAGACAAAATAATCTGTGATTCGAACTGTGTACTTTTCAGATTATTGATAAAGTCCTGGCTAGTAACCTTTATCGCCTTACCAAAATGTCGCCAAACTACCCGTTACCATACTCTAAAGATTAGCCGAAGTTTTTTTTATATTATCCATATTGTGAAGTATTTATGGACTACTTAAGATTTACATATTACAAAAAATACTATAGCAAAAGTTATAAAACCTAAAATAACCTTACTGTACCCAAAATTACAAAAAGGTGAGTTACCATACATTTAATTTCAGGTTTAACACTTATAGTATTTTTCAAATTTACCTTTGAGTTACAGTCTAATCTTAGAACATATTTTTTGCTGCAAATATTATAAAAATCTTATGGTTATCAAATCACAAATACATGTAGTTCAACTTTTAGAATGATGCAATTAAATCAAAACAGCAGTCATATATTTAATTATTTTTATCTCATCCACGTACTTAATAAAAAAAATGCTACAAGAGATTTAAAATTCCCTAACACAGTTACAAATGAAAATCAATAAAAGCCGTAAAATAATCTTTTGTATGAGAAAAAGTTAGCTACTGTACTAAACTAGAACAATGGAAAACTGGAATTTTGAAAAAAAGGAGAAAACATAATTTCATTCACAAAAATAAAAATACTGATGCATATAAATCAGTTAAAAGTTATGGAGGATTAGTTATCTGTTATATTTAAAGCAGGAACAATAATGAAAATGCATGATTTTACACATTCTGTTGTTGTTGCATTAAGCTATAGCACATTTCCTGTTTTTTAAAAAGTAACTTTTTTAAAATCTCTGTTTTAGCTGAACATATTTCTTTCCAATATTTGTAAGCGAACTTCAATTTCGCTTTCTGTTTTTTCAGCTTGCGAATTTTTTTTTCAAGTTTGCATACTCTTCGCAGATTTTTATCTCGAAATTTAGATAGAAATGGGGCACCATAAACACACGAAAAGCTCCGAGCATTATGTACATCAAAAAAACTGTCTAACTCAGCTTTAACTGCTATACGTCTTTGAGTATCTAGTAAGTACCTCCTGATTTCTCTTTTTTGAATCCTATTGGAATGTTCTCGTCCCGACATATTAAGCTGAGGTACAGCATTCTCTTTTAATTTTGGAAAACACTTTAAATTTAAATCTTTCGAATCACTTTTATCAATATAGTCAGAGTTTCTGAAATGCAATGAACAAATTCCTGCTTGCTGATCCACATGGTTTAGATTACAAGCAGATAGCCATTCTTTTCGCAGTGAAATGTTTTCTGGTAACTTGAAGTAGAATATAGTTGTGTCAAACATATATTTACTTCGGCAGTTTTTCACTGCACATTTGAGTATCTTTCTATTAGGGTCCATATTAAGAGTTTGACAAAGATATTTACAACAACCTCCTTGCACAACACCCCTCGTAACGAAAACATCAAACATCAGGTCAAGTAGTAGTGTTTTCATAATTCCTGAATATATGTTGCTTACCTAATCCAAGGAAGCGAATTACTTGAATATTCGGTTGAGTAGTATCTAATAAAACGTTATCTAGCTTCGATAAAATTTTCTGAAATTATTTTTCAAAAGTGAAAAATGCCTTTTTGTATTTAATTATCCTTGATTCTTATTTGAAACTTTTTTATGTTCTTTGATACTGATATACTATACATTCGCTATCTGATGGCGAAAATAAAGTTTAGGATAATAATAAAAGAGAGTTAATGTTATATTCTAAATTAAATCTTGCAGTTTTATATTCAGTCATATTCAATGAATATGGTTTTGAAAAGGAAAATCTGCTGTCAATTAGAAAGCAAAAGCAGACGAAAATCTAACTTGTGATGTATGAGAATAATAATAATAATAATAATAATAATAAAAAAAGGTTTTCCTTTTCTATAATCTTAAGATTATTTTTTTCATCACATGCCTTTTTTATTTTTTAATGTAATTTTGAACTGGTTGTATAAAAATATCTTATCTGAAAGATAATGATCCGAGTTCTTTTCTACGTTTGTTTTCTCATTTTCCTCATAAGTATAGTATTTATGTAAAGATGATATGGCGCGCCGTGAAACTGCTGATATGTACTATGATAAAGAAAAAGTATCTAAATGCTTGGAAGATGAATGGCAAAATATATTGTTGTTAATTGAAGGATCTCTAAAATCTTATTCTGCTGGTAAAGTTTCGCAACCTGTCCGTGCTGCTGTGCAAATAAAAGAACATGATGGGTAACGCCCATTATTACCTTGGTTATTTATCTTACCGTTATTTTATGTCTTTACTTTGTGTGCTTTGGATGCATAAACATTAGGATTCCGGCAGAACATCCCTTAAATTAAATACAGTGGTTGCCGAAAGTGGTGGGAGACTTTCAGTTCTGTTGTGAGAGATTGTACAGGATAAATTAGAATTATCTTAGTCTTGTTTTAAATAGTGTGTCTATTCTATTCCTTACAAAATTATACATGAAACTTAACCGAATAATGATTTAACAAGCTTTAAAAAATGAAATGTTAGTTAATTAGCAACAACCAAAACATGTGATATGTTTGCTTGTCCAAAAAACCCTTGAGACACCATTCTTCCCAGAGAATTAATACTTACAAAAGCTATGTTTATTGCGTGTTTTTATTTTGAATTTAAGGCAAGAATATAAATATTCTCTGGTTTATGTGTAAAAATTTATTATATGAATAATTTGAAATTTAGAGCACTGTGCTATACCATTTACATGGTATCATAAAAAAACATCAAATGCAGTGATAAATCTAGTTATTTTTCATTTCAAGAATAATAAATTTGTTAGAAAAATTGCTAGAAATTTTAATTTCCTGCATTCTACAATTTTTCATTTTTATAAAATTATTATCAAAAAAGAATTCTAAATAAGAAAAGTGGTTATCCACCAAAGCTTGCTGTATGAGATTAGCATTTCTTATTTGAAAATTTCAAGAAATGTATGCTTTAAAACTTTCTGTGGAATTTGCTGAAACATTTAAAGTATTATTTTTTTTTTTTCCCTGAAGCGGTCAAAATAATAATTAGATCAGCTGACAGCATAATCGTTCAGGAGGAAAAAAGTAAAAAAGAAAAACAAGCAACTGAATTTTTTATTTGGAAATTATAAAATATATTTCATAAATATACTTTTATCATACTGTAATCAGGCATCTTAATGAATGAGAAAAGTTTCACATATTTTGTGGTGCCATTTGTTATCTAATAAAGAGAAAGTAAATTAAAGAGCTTGGCATTTAAAGTAAAGCATACAATATGTTGGAAGAGGGGTCCTAGTATGAGGTTACATGTTTGCAGCAGCAGCAGATAATTTAATTTTTATTAGTATTTTAATGGATTGTACAAAACTTTTGCATATTTAAGAAAGAAAATTTAAAAATAATCAATATGAAAATTGGATATCAGTAACAATTTTGCATTGTGCTGATTAAGGTGCAATTTTCATTTCACCTTAAGCTCCTAACAATCCTAAGCATACTGCTTTAAATATTCACTTATAATTATTGCTTAATATCCAAAAATGACCAAACTAGCTCATTAGTTTTCCAATTTAAGTCCATTTAAATATATATAAATTGGAGGTACAATTTAGGAAAAAGAATTTTTTTTTCAAAGTTCTTATTGTTTTCTTATTAGTTTTAATACCATGGCAAAATATTTTTGAGTTTAAAAAAAAATCCTTTTCCAAGCAGAATTTGTCTCTACAAAGTAAGAAAATATTTCAAAGCTTCTTTACTAGGGACTTATATATTTTTTTCATTTTCAGTGTTGGTAAGAGTAAAAAATATACTTTTCTGATAATGGGGCACCATTTGACAAATGTGGTAATGTATTTATAGTGCATCATGAATAGTTATGCATTGGCAATACATGTAATGTTTAATGTGCGCAATGCCAAAGCTATTTGTGATGCTGAATTTATGCATTTCTTTGATTTTTTTTTTAAGCAGATTGCTGTGTACCTAGAGAGAACAACAGTTTTGTTATTCTCATGTACATAGCCATCTGTGGATTTAGGGTGCTTGTAAAGACCAGCATAAGAACTTTCTTAAATTTCACTTTAATTTGTGGGCTTGTTGTTATTTTTTGTTTATTTATTCCAAGAAAAACACACGTTGAATATTATAAACTTATTTTGACTCCTTTGTATTCTTGAGAAGTAGAATATTGTATAGTTTGTTAAAGTTTAATCAAAGGTAACATAGATAACATAAAATTAAACAGCTGCTAGAAGATGCTTTTTATTTTCAATAAATTTATCGTTGGTTATCAATTTGTTTTGTCAAATGATGATCTTTTATTGTGCAACATATTTCATATTTAATGCTAAACCTTGCATAGAAACATTTCTGAAGAATCATCATTTGGCCTAAGAATCTCTCTAAAAAATCAACTGACATGAAAGAAGAAAGTAATGTGTGGCTTAAATTGTGATGCATAATTAAATTTATTTAATATGTTATGTAATTTATATGATATTGTGTATGCATGTGTAAAACATTTAAATAGAATTTTTATTTTTAAAAGATTAACTGGGAGCTTTTTGCTGAAATTTTCATAGCTTGCCACCAGTTATCCACAATTAAATATTTCCACAATTAAATCATATAGTATTATATATTTCCAAGTTTCCTTTTTGAGAACATTTCTGCTGCTGCTTAAATAAATTTTTAATGGCTTTTTCTGTTAACAGCCCTCTGCCCATATAGATATACCGTTAGAAATAACACACAAAGGCTTTCATGATTTTATCCATCATATTATAAGTCTGATACTTTGAAGTTCATGAAGATGGCTGCAAAAGTATTAAAAAAGATGCATATTGGTGATAATTATGATGCATGCAGATGCTACAACGTATTAAAGAAGATGGCTCATGTACTTAAGAAATGGCTCCAAATAGATGCAATGTGAAATTGATGCAAATGCATATTGCATTGGTACCCTATTAACAGAAATTTGCATTGGCAAACATTAGTGCAAAATCTAACTAGATGACAGGAAGCCTAATGATATGTAAAGCTCTGCAGGGGCAAAAAAATGTAATAACAGGAATGTGTCATATAATAGAATATATATAATTAACATGCCCACAATCTTAACATTGTGCACATTAAACATTGCACACCTATTAATGACAATATATAAGCAGGCTACCATATTTAGCACTTTAATGTACCTTTAATGACTAGCATCCTACATACATATAACATAAAATAATTATTTACTCAATACATATGTAATTTCTGTGATATTTTGTTATTACTTTTGCAAATTTTAAGTTTTTTTTTTTTTTTTTTTTTTGTGTGTGTGTATGTATATATTTGTCTGTGTGTGAACATGTGCCTGTAAAGCATTTAATTAGGACCTGATATTTTGTTTTTATAAGATAAAGTAAGAACCGTTTGTTGCCAATTTTCATATCTAACCCTTGGTTTTACATTGTTAATGTGGGACACCAAAAAATTCCCCATTGCCAGTTTTACCATGGAATGTATGATGCAGCTAAACCAAAGCTGAGAGGGAGAGAGAGAGAGAGTGAAGAAATGAAGAAAAAAAAAAAAAAAAATGATATAAACATATGCAGGAGCACCAAAATCTTTTAAGTGCTTGGAGCCTGTAAATGCCTTAATTCAAACCTGTAGGAAGGGACACTAAATGCATATTCATCTCTTCTGTGTCAATCTGGAAGTTCAATATCTGCCTGCAAAGAGTAGAACTTTGTGTCAGAACCTGATTTGAAGGTTCTCATACTACCCTTTCGATGGTATGCAGATTAAGCACATTTGCTTGCATATTTTTATCATTCATGCTTTTTATTCTGAAGCATTTTCAGCATATAATTCCAAAACATCTAATTTATGGTAGATACATAAAACAAATATGAACAGATAGCAATATATGTGAATAGATAATAAAATATACATACGTTTCCAAAAGGTAAAAGCAGTAAAAACAGAAAGGGGGAAAGGGGGAGAATATGTGTGAGTAAATATGGTGTATATACGGTAGTCTGGTGCTTGCTAGGCATTCAAACCAACCCTCTTTCCAATAGTATGGTGTATATACTCCTGGGTGAAATATGATGAGTTAAAAAGTTAGACAGTTAAAACTGCAGTCAACTGGAATAATTAATTATCTGAAGGTATATAATATGAGAATAATTTACTTATAGCATAGTCATGAGCCCTAACTGAAAAATGTTACTTATCTAATCATCGAATATACTTAAATTTTCAGATGATGCAATTTAAAATTAATTTTAGCTCGTATTTTGCTAAAATCAATTTCATATTGCATCTATTTGGAGCCATTTTTTAAATAAATGAGCAGTATTCTTTAATACATTGTAGCATTTGCATGCATCATAATTATCACCAATGTGCATCTTCTTTAATACATTTGGAACCATCTTCATTAATGCATGAGTATCGAACTACAAATTATAAGATTTATAATATGAAGGATAAAATCATGAAAGCCTTTGTGTGTTATTTCTATCAATAAAGGCAGAGGGCTTTTACTAGCCCAAAGAGTGTTAGCCAAGAATGGCTATTAATTTCAGAACGATATTTTGCGTCGATTCACTTTTCAAACTGTTACCACCAAATATTATCACCATGTATTATATTTAAAGTAACTAAAGAATGAAGGATCTGTGAATATTTCTTGCATTGTGAAGATATAACGGTACCATTAAATTTTGAATAATATAATATAGTCCTCCAACTGAACATGGGCACTTGGAAGTCCGAATTTTGAATTTTGAATTTTTGTTTTATTAGTCCAAAGGGGCAATTTGCCCAGAAGGATCATTAATTTCGTTTTGGCATTTTGCATTGATTCACTATAAATATGGGTTCACTTTTCAAATTCTTGCCAACAAACATTACAGCCCTGTATTATATTTAAAGAAATTAAATAATGAAGAATCTGCATAAAGTTATGTGTGTTTCTCGCATTGTGATAAAATAACGGTACCTTAGAACCATCAAATTCTTGAAATAACGTACGTACACATGAACATGGGCATCTGGAATGTGTATCGAAATTCTAAAAGATTGCTCATTTTAAAATTATTTGCGATATTGCTGTGAATTAAATTTGATTGTTTAAGTGCGACGAAATGATATTTAATCAATAAAGGTAACACACAAAACTTAGAAAAAAATGCCCTTTTGGGTGTAATATAAAAGCTGAGAGCTTTCAGTTTTTTTTTTTTTTTTTTTTTTAGTTGATAGTAGTTTTGTTACCGTTTATTTACTGTATCAAAGGTAGATGTGTAATAATTTATTTCAAAGCCAAATAAAGCTCATATTTTCCTATCTATAAACTTTTATTTACTGAATTTTCACAATTTCTTATCTCATAATTATTTTGCAATATAAAAGGCAAAAAGTAGTCTTAAATGTATAAAGCAAAAGTCGTTAATTCGGACAACCCATAATCCGGAAATGGATCTGTAATCCGGCCCTCAACCCTCAAAGCTAAAAACTTCTGCGGCTGCGCCGCGTTGACTGACACATGCGCATAGGCGTTTACGCGTGCGCGTAAGCCTCTTACGACTGCGCATTGGCGTCGTGCGCAAGCGGATGGAATACGTTTTCGCGTGCGCGTTTTATGATAACGGACTGTATAATCTAAAATTATCTAAATTATCTATTTCAGTTAATGTTGATTGATTGCTGGTTTCCGAATGTGGATCCGGCTTATTATTTTTGCAGACTGTAAGAGCACATTTATAAAAGTAAACTTGAACTTTCGATTATATCAAATAGGAATTTCCGAATTGGAGCTCTCAAAGGATCGTACACAAAACGAAAGTACGTTTCGATGTTCATCAAAAAAAAAAGTGAAATTGCTGCAAAAAATGGATAAAGAAAGAAAGTGACAGAGGTATTGAAAAACGAAAAAATTTCGATTGACAAATTAGTCGGTATTTCTCGACACAGCAATTATAGGACTTGAAAGCGGAACTTTGTAATGAACAAAAAATTATGTCTGTTTATGAAATTAAAGAGAAGTATTTATCACATAAAACGAAAGCAACTAAACAACTTAACTGAAAGAAATATTTAATAAAGTAAACAAATAAATATTAAGCTTTTTTTTTGTAAATTTTGATCCCTTTAGATCATAATGTTTTATTTCATAAATACGGTTTCATATTTTTAATTTTATAATTCTGCATGCCATTTACAGATTTAAACTGATGATCTATAATCCGGAAAAATCGATAATCCGGAATCGCTGAAGTCCCGACGAGTCCGGATTAACGACTTTTGACTGCATTTATTGTGTAGAGAAAGAATATCAGGTTTTAAGAAGATAGGTTTAAGATCAGTCCTCTTCAAGGAGCAAATATACTTTGCGATTTTTATGGTATTAACATGCTTCTTTTTCATGTATGATATTTTACATTTCTTTTCGACTCTGCTCTATGGATAATATCTGTCTTTTTTTCAATCTGATATAATTTTTTATACTAAAAGCACTTTTTATGGAATCTGTCTAAATATTTCAAATTGTTATATTAGAACACTATGCTTTTATCATCTGTATGGTATGACCATACAGATGATAAAACTGTATTGCCATTGGTAGTCAAATGAGATCTTTATTTTATATGTGTTGGCTAATAACTGGTTTTCTGAGTGTTATCATTCGATGTGAAATGAAATCTTTAATTTTTCTTTGAACTACTCAACAGCTGAGTGATTTAAAAACTATAAATGGACTTCTTAATAAATTAAATCTGCATTTTATTTTTCAATAATTTATTTAAATGAAATAATTTAAAATACGCTTAATTTAATCAGTTATTGATTATAAACATTAGCAGCATCATTATAATGAATTAGTTGTTTGAATTATTTGCAGCATCATTCTAATGATTGCTTGTTTCATATGTTGCGTTTTTTAGTGTAATAAACATTTCAATTTTTATATATATTTAATGGGATTTTGCAGAAAGCAGCAGAATAATTTTATTCTTTGCTGAAGAGATATGTATGTTGATTCTTTTCAAATGCATAGAAAATTTTTTATAAAATTAATGCTAATTTTAAGTTTGAATTTTATATAATTTAAAACGTGGGTAAATTCAGTCCTGAGATAAAATTTTCACACATGTAGATAAAATGATCCCATCCATATTATGGAAAATATAAGTCTTGTCTTGTGTGGATGCAAGGTTTTTTTTTCCTTTATAATCTGATTATTACAATATTGAAAGATAATCGGAAGGAAGTTTTTGTATAAAGAAAGGCTATTTTAGTTCAACTCTCTAATAACTGGAGATTATAAAATATATATATTTTTTAAATATTTGTCGTTTATTGAGGTATGTTGCACGGTTCAAAACACTACCATTTTACTTTTTCAAAGAAGTGTCCTTCCCACCCCAAGTAGGAATTTTTTCTTACCATTATGTAAAAATATAATTAAATATTTCTATTTGTAGGCTATTATTAGCAATGCCAGCTTATGATTCTGAATTGGATTCTTTAGCTACAAAAGTAGTAACGGTTTTCCCGGAGAATAAGAAGAAAGGATTGAGTTCTGTGCAGTCGGTTGTGTTATTATATAATGCTGCTGATGGGAAACTGAAAGCTGTATGTAATTATTCTTTTTCATTGAAATATGTCTTTATTAATTTGTTAGACTGGTTATGTATCAGTTATGTTCTTTATGCTATATTAAAAATAATAATTATTATTTTAATTTTTTGGGGTACCGTATATACCCGCGTATAAATCGATTCCCCGACTAAGAAACATTTACGGTAAAACAAATTTGTCGCATTAGCGGCGCCGCCGATAAAACAGCATGCTGATGTACTTGATAAAATTTCACTCACAATTTAGCGAATTTTTGGTTTATTTCCATTTTGGCACATGATGAAATTTTAAAATATGTACAAAATTTTCAAAGAATTTCATTCGAATCCTTCAAATTCTAAATCAAATTCAGAATCTGCAAATAAATCGTGAAATTCGTTTTTAGTCATTAGAAAGTCGTCATAAATTTCATCACTCGATTCATCACAACTAGTGCCATTATCGTCACTTGGATAGATTGCATCATCTTCTGTGCCATCCAAGTTATTGGAAATGCAACACTTTTTGAATTATTTAATTATCATTTCAGCTGGAATCATGTCCCAAGCGTCACCGTGCAATGAAAGTTATTTCCGGCTTTCTAATATTGCCATTTTTGGCTTCATTAGGCAAATCAAATTGTATCCATTCCGCCCAATATTTGCGCATATTTCATCTTGAACGGCTTACTTACGCTGACAGTTTCTGCTTTCTACAGCTCTCCCATTTTGTTACAGAGTGCTTATTGCCAATAATTACTTATCAATTATATTTTTTTCTGGCTTTTTTGCGTTGGATTTTAATAACTCACATAGTTACCGTCTAGACTTCTGCTGTCAAGTTAATTGTTAAGGGCTTTGTGAGTTTCCGCCTGCCCATCCGTCTGTCTGGACACCGTCGTGTGGGCTCGATTCCGGGGCGGGAGCTTTAGGTTTCTGATTGGACCTAGAATTGGATTTAGGATTTGGAAATGGACACAATTATTAGACTTATGGCTTCTATCAACTAGATTTTCTTCAAAAATTCTACAATGCTTACAATATGACACAAAATTCTGAGACTGTATTAGAAAATTATCAAAATAACACAAACACAAACCCTCAGGATGGTGAATGGAAAACAGTCGCAAATAAAAAAATTGAAAGGCTCTCCTATCAAATCGAACACACATTTAACCAAAGAAATTCCTCTCGATCAGGACACAGACAGTTCAGAAGCAGATTTTGAACATAACAAAATTAAAGGTGTCCGCACAGTAGGTAAACGTAAGAAAAAGCTACCTCAAGTAAATTTACGTGCTACAAAGCCTCAAGAATCAGAATCATCACTTAGTTAATGGCATTAACTACTTAGAGTATTTTCCATTAATTCAAGTTGCGCCATTGGCATATCGCGTTTTATTTGAAAAAATTAGGGGTGCATGAGCACCGCGCCCGCAGACGAAATTCTGGTCAAGGTGGCAAATCTTCGAGAAAGTATCGAAATACATCAAATTGATCAAAATCAGTATTTGTTGCACATAAAGCCGAATTTATAGCTAGAGTAGGTGCGAAGCATACATGCAGCGAATATAATGAGAGACACAAGACTGACTGGTAAGAGCAGTGAAACGTGAGAGTGCAAGTCGTACAGGTGGACCCGTCATCTTGAGGTGCACTGTGATGAATTCAAAGTTTGCAATTACACAGTTCAAGGAGTTGCAAACAGTTCAAAAGTAAAGTCCTATGCAAGGAAGCAATAACCGAAGAGCAATCTTCAAAACAGTCTTTTCTCACAAACAGTAATACATAAGCTAGATAAAATACGTAATCTATGTGCATTAATTAACTTTATCACTACCACAACCTGAAATTGTGGTGTATTGTCCGTGGTCTCTTCACAACACTATCTTGGGTTGGGTCGTAATTTGCGAGAGCTCTGATTGCATTATAGGAAGAATTTTGAATGCTCGTAAAGAAATTATAAGAATTCATAAGAATATGGTCGTGTATGGCGGGATTTTCCAAATCATAATTATTTGTTGGTTTTTCGCACAAAAACCAAGGCGCCGTCAGCATGTAACGGAGAATTTTTTCTGTTCTGCTTAAAATGCTTATTTCTCATTCAGTTTTATCGCGTTTTGCCCCATGTGGGGACGGCCGTAAGTAAGATCAGTATGATCAGAAGTTATATACAGTGTGTGCGTTTAAATTCTGAGGTCTAGCGTCGAACTTCTCAGGAAGGTTTAAAGCCGCGAAAACGCAGCAATTTAGCTTGTTAAGACATAGGTAATGTGATTTGAAGGATAAGGTTGAATCAAACATTGCACACCCAAATATTTTATATGAGTTTGAGGAGGGGAGTGGGAATATTGTAATTCTGATATCCACATTACAGGAGCTAGTCTTCTGTACATTCGATACATGACGATTGCAACATTTTCGGGATTAAGTTAATTTTCATAACTTGCAGCAATTTCAATTTCTTTTAACTGCGGAAGTAATATTTCGCTTATCTAGGCCATATGACGGTTCAACGAGGCTGGTAAGAATAAACAGTGTCGTCCGAGTACTTAAATATGTTGGAAGAACAGGGCCTTGGCATTTCATTGACGTAGATATTAAATTTTTGGAGAGAGGACGGAGCCTTGAGGCACGCCTCTGTGGATAGTCTTGATGTTAGAGAGTGACTCGCCACATCGAACTGAATGTACGATCTTTCAGGTACGAGCTGATCAATTTAAGAAAGCTGTTAGGGAGCATGAATTTTGAAAGCTTATAAATGAGCCCTGCATGCAGGGGCGTAGCTAGAGGGGGCAAGGGGGGCATCTGTCCCTGGGCGCAGAATCCAAGGGGCGCCAAACTTGATTTGTTAAGATATTTTAGAATTAAATGTTTTCCATCCTTGGCAAGCAGTAGGGGGCGCGAAATCTTCAGTTGTCCCTGGGCGCTGAAAACCCAAGCTACGACTCTGCCTGCATGCCACACCCGATCGAATGCTTTCTCGAAATCGAGGTAGCATGCAGCAACTCCTTTCTTCTTTTGGAATTCTTGAGCAATGTACTCCACAAGGTTGAGAATTTGGTGGGTGGTGGAATGTCCTTTCCGGAACCCTAACTGCTGGCTATCAATAAGATCTAGTCTCTCCAAATGGTCATTTAATCTAGAGCTGATAATCTTTTCGAAGACTTTGCTTATTGCAGGCAGTAAACTGATTGGACGATAACTAGTTACATCCTTTGGATTCTTGCCTGGTTTCAATAACATAATGATCACCGAACGCTTCCATTTCTGGAGGAAGTGGGAAGACGAATGCAGGCATTAAAGATGTTACACAAAAGAACAATACAGTTCCGCGGAAGAGCTTTCAGGGCCTCGTTATTGATCCTGTCGTAACCATTTGCTTTTCTTTTCTTTAAACTATTAATGATCGACCTAACCTCATTTGGTGAAGTAAAATTAATGAAACTGTTGTTTCTTCTAATCTCTATTAAATCAAGAGTATTTTTAATTTCAATATCACGCTCCGTGTTTTCATCTGCGTGGCTTTCAAACGTCTTACTAAGGCTTTCTGCCATAACTTCTGCTATATCCTCCTCTGAGTGGAGAGTTTGCCCCATGTGACTAATAGCGTGGCGGTGATTTGTCCTCTGAGTACGTAACGAATTTGCAAGTTTCCAGACCGTATTCGGCTGAATGTCTAAGTTTTCAATAAGCCTGTTGTTAGAGAGTGAGATCCGTCGAAAGAATAATGGACTGTAATCAGTTATAAAGGTTTAT